ATTGGATACTCGGTCGATACACAATACACAGGCTGGATCACATTATACTTGATACACAACTAATAATAGACAGTTAAAGTACAGAGAAGACAATATTTCATTCAGCTCGAATACATAGTGTACACTTAATAAGTTCGGATCAGAGATAGGAAATTACAAATCAGATAGTCATTAATATGTGTCTAAGAGTTTACAGTCAGTGACCACTTACATCTATCTACGCTACCATAGATCATTTAAACAAATACTTTCACAGTAGTTGGGAACCAAGTGCATGGAAAACATTGAAAAGGAACCTAAGAAATATAGTATACGCGATATATAGTCACTAAAGCTAGTGATCACATTGTTAATTCATCAGACATGACGATGGGCATATCCACCTACAATTTAACTTTTTTCTTTTCCAGGTCAGCTCGAGATATAAAACCGACAAAGTATATGACGAATAGAGTTATAGCGGTAAAAAACTCCCCGAAATCAGTAACTCCGTAAGTCATAGACGTTGATGATGACCTCATTAATTTCACTGCACACGCCCATCCTGAAGGCACTGGTCCTTGCATCCGCACCAGACCACAAGTGGGTACGTCGTGCTACGCATCCCTTTCAACCACTCGCCGGCCTAGATCAGACGCCTCCCGACATTCAGGTTTAAGATCTGTATAGCTAGAACAGAAGGTCAAAGGCCCATATTATTCCTTTCCTCTTATGCTTCTGCGAGTGTCTAGTCTTCTCCTGAATGAATCATTTGAAGGTGTGGACGCCACTGCTTTGGGTAACATGTTCCAATGACTGATAACTCGATCTGAAGCACTGTATGTCACAGGTGGATTGTTCGTTCTTGGCTTTTCTACTCCCCCGCTATGTTCTCTGAGATGTCCCGATCTAGTGGAAAGAAGAAGAGATACGATAGGTGCAAAATGACTTCTTAGTGTTCTACAAATTAAAATCAGATCACCTCTTAATCTGCGATAGAACAGAGCAAAGAGTTCTAGCATTTCAAGCCACACTTTGTATGGGAAACCCCGGAGTTCCAGAATTGCACAGTAAGCTGCCTTTTGTAATTTTTCCACGATATCCGAGTTACCTCTCAAACAGGAGCTTGCAGCCTGAACGAAGTTCTCAAGCTTAGTTCTCAACATGATTGTGTACACTGTAGTGAAATTGGCAGTATCTACCTCGATTATTGTTTATCTTAAAGCCTATAAGGTTCTAAACCCCTGAACTGGAGCCCTCCGGTATTAGTTCGTGGTCTTAAGATCGTAAATTACTGTCACCCTAAGATCCTTGTGAGTCCGAACCACGATCAAAAGCACTTCTCCTATGACTTACCTGTTCACCTTAGTATCACCAAAGTGCATGTAAACACATTTCGTCACGTTGATAGGCATAAGCTACTCTTAGGATCAGCTTATCACAATATTTAAGTCCGTCTGAAGTGGGCATTCATTTGGGTCTTCTGATATTTCTTGCCGGATCTTTACATCATTAGAGTATAGTAACATTGAGGAGTCAACTATCCTTGAGAGTCCATTTACATACAGTGTAAAGAGTGAAGGACCTAGGACAGAACCTTATGGTAATTCACCAAGTACTGGTCTCCAGGTGGAGCCCTTGGATATTATCTTCACTTCCTGCCTACTACCTACCAAGAAAATCCTTAAGCCATTTTAAGAGAGACCCGACAATGCCTAGATTTTCCGGCTTCAATGACGGTCTAGTTGTCAGCACGTTATCAAATGCTTTGCTCAAGTCTATGAAGACCACTTCCACTGAATTCCCATTGTCTGGAGCCTTCGTACATTGCTCCCTTGCTATAAGGAGATTTTTTTGCAAGATAAACTTTTTGTGAAACCATGTTGTTCGCCGTTTTGCAAGTTGTTGGTTTACACGGATGTCATCATGGTCCTTTTGACTATTCCTTCCAATATTTTAGCTCGACACCGGTGAGGCTGACAGATCTATAATTCGATGGAAGTTGTCTTGGTCCTGTTTTATGTACTGGAGTGACGATTACATCCTTTCAGTTCATAGGTAGCACACCTTTGTCAAGTGACATATTGAATATCACAGTTACTGGGGCTGCGATATATTTTACAATTTGTCTTAGGATTTTAGGGGGTAGTTCATCCGATCCTGTTAACTTTTGCGTGTCTAAGGTACCAAGAGTCTTAAGTTCGTCGTCTTCATCAAAGTTTACGGTGAGCAGAAGTTTTGTTGCCTTTGTATTTGGGTTTAGTTTTTTTTGCCTCCCGGGTGAAAACTGTCCGGAAATAGTTTTACATAGCTTCTGCTTTTTCCTGATCACCTTCTGCCATTTCAGATCCACTTCCTTTCTTAGTTAATTTGATAATCCATTACTGCATCCTTGTTCAGTAAGAGAATAATCTCTTAGGCTGCTTCATTAGACTGGGCCAACTGAGCTTCATATTCTCACCGAGCTTCCTGAATTGCAACTAACTAACGACGTGCTAACTGCCACAACCACATTGCATACCAACTTGACATACCTCATGTTAGCACATGATAGAGAATTGACAAGAATAATGATATAGGACGGAAAACTAATAATATCTATTTTACTGAAAGCCCAAACATCAGAAGTATAAACTAAGTGGATAAGTGAGACGGAATCATCATGAAAATCAAGATAACAATATACCCAACCAAAAGACCATCTTTAATCCAAGGGCTCAAACCTGGAATTATACACTGTTCGGCTTGAAAGTTCATATCACCACAACGCTAGTTGGACAAGTACAAATTCGAAAGCAGTTCAGTTTAGAATTTAATAAATTACATCATTGACCACTGAAAATCAGACTTTCAGCTGATTCGTTCTATTACGGGACTCAGTAGTGTGAATGTACTATCCACGAGGAGGTATCTTTAAGTGTTGTAACGGGAACTTTACCTTAAAACTACGATGACGAAATTTGGAGGTTCTGACTTCGTGGATGTGCACTGGTAGGTGTTGCAGCGGTAAATAAATCCCCAAAATAAATAGCTCTGTAAGTCTTCGACATTGGATGCTGACCACATCAGTCTTAATGGACTCACCTAGCTGAAGACGCTCGGTCATGCACCAGATCATGAGTGGGAACGCCGTGCTCAACAACCCCTGTAATCACTAGCCAGATTAGATCAGACGATCCTCGATATATTGACAGCTTATCAAATATGTCTTCGAACCTCCTTGCTTCCATCTTTTGATTTTACTTGATAGGTACGCTTCATAATAGAAGGTGTTACTGGTTAAAGCGTTGTCAAACTCCAAATACCTGTGGCATTTTCAGTGTTATCCATACTAGGAAAAAACATATATCCAATGCTTCCTGGTTTCCAATTAGGAGATGATAAATAATGTTCTAACTATGAACAAACTAAGAGCTTACGAATAAGTGTACCAGGTCACGTCGGCATCACCATTAAAGATGCCTCAGGAGTTCGGAATCTGACGTCTTTAAATGTAACACCATTACAACCGAAGTATACCATCGTGGTCAGATCAAAGTTCCTGACTGGATGGGTTTGGAAATATATTTGGAAAGCTATTGATGTGTCGAGAAGTGTCTGATGTAAGCTGCCTAGTGGTTGCAAGGGATGCGTAGCACGACGTACTCACTCTTGGTCTGGTGCGGATGAGTAACCGAGCGCCTTCTGTGAGATGTGTTCATTTACACTAGTGAGATTAACATCAAATATCAAGGACTTACGAAGTTATTGATTTTGGGGATTTATTTACAGCTGCATACTTATTGACAAGACTCAAGATTTATTACCTCTTAGTCGACTATCGAGTTCACTAGGATTGGTGCAACCGAGCAGCTGAATTATCCATGTTGATCAGATTCAAATGTGTGTAGTAAGGACAGAAGGCCTACGACCTGTTTTTCCTTTACTAGTATGCTTCTGTGAGTGTCCAGTCTTCTCTTGAAAGAGTCAATTGAAGGTGCGGACACCACTGCTTCAGGCAGCAGGTTCCAAGTATTGATGACGCGGTGTGAAATCCTGTATGCCACGGGTATTTTGTTCGTTATTGGCTTTTCTACTCGCCTGCTATGTCCTCTAAGGTGTCCCGATCTAATGGGAAGAAAGAGAGAGAATAAGTTAGGTCCGAAATCATTTCCCAGTATTCTGTACATCAAAATTAGATCTCCCCTTAGTCTGCGATAGGACAGAGTAAAGAAGTCCGGTTTTTCAAGCCGCTCTTTGTATGATAAACCCCGGAGTTCCGGAATTGCACGGGTAGCTTCCCTCTGTACTTTTTATAGTATGTCCGTGTCACCTTTTAAACAGGGGCTTGCAGCCCGAGCGCAGTTCTCTAGCTTAGTTCTCACTAAGGATGTGTATACTGTGGTGAACATGGTAGTATCTAACTTAGTGAATGTCCTTTATAAAGCCGAGAGGGTTTGAAACCTCTTGGCTGCGTCCTCCCGGCAATGGGCCGTCGTCTTAAGATCATTACTCACTGCCACCCCTAGATCCTTATGAGACCGGACTACGGGTAATGACACATCCTCTATGTTGTACTTATTAACCTTTGAATCCCCCAAGTGCATGTAGACACACTTTTACGCGTTGATAGGCATCAGCCACTCTTTAGACCAGTTTGTCATATTATTTAAGTCTGCCTGAAGAGTAAATGCGTCTTTGTCTCCAGTTATTACTCGCCAAATTTTTACATCGTCAGCGTATAATAACGTTGGAGACTGTACTATACTTGTAAGATCATTAATGTACATTATAAAAAGTAAAGGACCTAGGACGGAACCTTGGGGTACTCCACTAAGTACTGGTCTCCAGATGGAGCACTTGGAATTTATTCTTACTTTTTGTCTACGACCTACTAGGAAATCTTTAATCCATTTTAAAGGATTTCCAGCAATACCAAGGTTTTCCAACGACAATGGCAGTCTATTAGTTGGCACCATGTCAAAAGCCTTACTGAAATCTGTGTAAACAATATCCACTGAGTTTCCGTTATCTAGCGATAACGAATATATAGTGTTTGTTGTGACATCAAGAACCGAGCGAATAGAAATTAGTTGGTTACACAAACTCGTCATAAATATCTTGTTTATTGAGTTTTGAAGGCGGCCGTCAGAAAAATGGTCGCTCCATTGACTAACAGGCGGTGTGTCACATTTGGTGGCTTGTGATATCAACTCTTATTTTCGTCTGCCGAATAGCTTTAATCTTGTCCTTGTATTACCTCCGGTTGTTATAGGTTGTTTTATCAAATGTAAGATTACATATGCTTACTATACAGTCGGCCACTTTCACCTATTGTCTTCCAGATTGTCCCACACACTGCCATTCATACTTCACCAAGATACAACATACCTTCATGCTAAATCCAAACCTATTAAAGGCCGGACTTTATATTTATAAAAAACAATTAGTAGTATGTACCGTCAGACTATGCAATGGTGAGTTCTCGATCTTAAGATTGTATTTTGTACAAACATAGTTACTCAAGGTAGTATACGACACATTGAATATTATCAAATATTCGGCTTTGGTGAGTGCTCCCAGTGTTATAATCATGGTGTCCAGCCCAGTATTTGATAACTGGGCAAATTTTACTGTCAAACAAAAGTCGAGGTCTATCCACCATATTCGTATTCAAACTGACAGAAATATCGGAAAATTAATTCCTCATGACAGTAATCTAGAGAATATATGCTTATAGGTTCTTGTCTTTCCAAATATTTTTACGCTGTATCACAACGTACTGCCAATTGGACAAATCAATAAAATGATTTGTTTTCACGGCACACTTCGAATAAAAAGATATGAGACGAATCCCTAGTGATATAAATGTTGGAAACTAGTGCATCAGGATGAGCTTTGACGTCCATATAGTCATTTCCTTGTGTGCGAAATAGTCCTGTTAAATGTAAAATAATACAGGATTCTCTTTCCTTGAATGTAATCTAAATGATTTTCTTGCTTCTTAAATCCCTTTATTTCAAGAATTTTACGTTCATGATAGTTGGTACAACTAATTTGCCGAGCGCCGTTTCATGTACTCAACTTTAAATCATAATTGTGGTGAGAACTTATGTTATCTGTATGGCCAAACCAGAGTAGGTGGGACGAGCCTTAAACGTACAGCTCTATAGTCAAAAGCCAATAGTTCTAAGCATTAACTGCAACTGCGCTTCAAGAGTTTTTTATACTTAGTTCAAGAGTAAGGGGGATGAGCTCTATAAATGCCTTAACAGTTTCACTTAGGGATGAGTCACTTTAGCACTAATTTAATGGATTATGTCACCCCAATAAGGGGTATAAGAAGCTCATGTTAAAGTTCCCTATCTATAAAGTAGAGGGGATACTCCAGTACTTAAGAGTTGGGCGTATGGCTCAGCACTGACTGTGCCGATACAAATCGAGACAACTTGAATCGGCGCATAATTATTTCATTTCTCTTTATTATGTTTCAGGTTGAAAGCCAATGTAGTTGTTGCAATTACTAAGTGCATACTATATAGTAATCTAATAAAATTTTTTATTTCAGTGCTTTGAATTATCTCAATAATCTAAGTTAAATACTAGAGAAATGGAACTTGATTCCTTGTGCGAACATTGGGATTCGACTTTGGATATTGACGAAGAAAATTCTGAAACTGTCGCTGAATCAGAACAGCACCCACGCCTTTCATTATATAAAAACAAAGGTCGAGCTATCGATCAGGAAAAACGTTGGCGTCAAAAACTCAGCATACTTAAATCTAAAAAAGAACGATTAGATCATTTCGATCATAATCGCTTTTCTGTGAATAAAGAAGAGGCCTCAAAACACCCTTGGGCATCAACTGAAACAAAGTCAGAAATAAGAAGTTGGCGTCGTCACTCGAAACTTTTAATGCTAGCAGAGTGGTTTCTATTTATACCTCCAAATTTTGAAGAGGAATATCGGATGAAAATTTGTCCTAAAGGGCGCCATGTATTTATCAAGGCTTCAAAAGTAAGAAATTAACGTTGGTGAACATGATTTAAATCACTGATTTTTGGCTACGTTTGATTAAAATACTGTTGAATCTCATAAAGAGGGAATCCTCTTATTAAGAGATATTTTGGTATGCACTTTTCTATGCAAACTGTTTTCACGAATACTTGATAAATCAAAGCTTGTTGAAGTTGATTTTACATTGGTGATAGATATTCCTCATCTATCTGGATGTAAAAATTTAGGTTTTAACTCATGGAGCTGTGTCTTAGTGGTTAAAGCACTTGGTCCTCAATCAATAAGTTAAAGGTTCGAATCCCCCATCTACTGTGGTTTGGAAAGCTAAATAGTTTCACTACCCTCACACAAAGTATGGCTTATATCTGAGTACATAAATTTCTACTTGGTAAACCAGATAAGGTTTCCAATCTCAATATACGCTTAAATTTGTCTCGTCAATCATCTTGCCTTAGCAGTTCACAGATAGCCACATGTTATAATTTTTCAGTCAATAAAATTACCCTTTAATCTCTCTCTCTCTCTCTCTCTCTATATATATATATATATATATATATATATAATTATTGTTCTGTCTGCATTATTGGATTACTGATAAAAGTATTGATCTGCTAGTCACTAGAATAAAGGTTCGGACTTTGCTGCTTGTGACTTCAGTTGGTTATTAGTTCAGCGTTCATCTTCAAACATGATAGAAAGTAATGGCTTAAATGTTGGTCAAGCGAACATGTACTTGGTTTATGAGTTTTATCTTATTAAATTCACCGCATTAGGCTCACGAAAGAAATCAAATAAATAATGTAAATGAATTGAATTGTATGATTTAAAATAGTAAAATAACTCTGGTTGAAATTTCCACTTATTTACTCGGTTACGATATTAGAGGTTTATTAATATAATATTTCTTTCTCAATGTTAGACAGTTGAAATAATACAAAAATGTTTCAGGATATTAATCAATCAACTTATTGGTCTATATGTACTGTGCTCACTGTGCGGGATATAGATCTTGGTTACGCGACGATCAGATGTTACAAATCAGCTTGAAGTAGCTGACCGGAGAGAGTTGGTTCTTAGTAGTTCTCTAGTTGGTATAAACTAACTTCTTTTTAAATGATCCGTAGAAATCTACCTTAATATTATTTATAAAAGTTGAATCGAACCAATATCGGTTTCGTAGTCTCACAATTAATTTTAAATTATGAAAATGGTTAATTACGTAATTAGTATTTCAATGGTTATTTTCTTAGTGGCTTGTTTTAGTTTGATACTGCTTACAAATAAACTGTCAAGTAAGACTGATACAAATAAACTATACGTTCTAATTAAGTGTTTATATATGACTACCTTAAATACTATAAACAATTTGAAATGACCTAGTGAAATTCGTAAGGTATGAATACAATGAGTTACTTATAATACTTATGAGTAAAATAAAAACAACTTGAAACTGAATATAATACAACTAGTTATTGTGTGAATTACCACTTTCAGAGTATTATAAGGAATACTTTTAATGTCACTTAGTGTTGTTTGATTGTATCTTCCCATTAGTATTTAGGACTGCAATCGATCAGCCTCTTGTTGGTATATATGCATCCTATGTGGATTGCCTTAAGTCACAAGCTTTAAAAGCAAAGATAGATGGTAGCTAGCAGTGGAAATATTAAGGCAATCCACACAGGTTGCACATATGCTAACCAGAGACTGATCAATTTCAGTCCTAAAACATCAATGGGAAGGTTCAAATAAAACAATATCAAGTGAATTAAACTTCAACCCATTGCACAAGCAAGTGGCTATCAGGACTCAGTAGCTAAGTGGATAACGCGATGGTGTTTGAAGCGAACGGTACTGAGTTCGAGTCCCAGAGTGAACATCAACTCTGAGATGCAGGTACATCCAGCTGACGAGTCCCAAACAGGACGAAACGCGCGTCCTGGATTCCACTGCTAGCCACTATCTATCTTTGCTTATAATGCTTGTAAATTAAGGCAATATCGAGGCATACGCACAGTATTGCACATATGCCAATAAGAGACTGATCAATTTCAGTCCTAAAACATCAATGGGAAGATCCAAGTAAAACAATATCAAATGAATTAATTAACTGTTTGAAAGTCAGTTGGTCACACGATAAAGTATGGCTGTTCCCGAAAGTCATATTCTCCAGGTAGTGAAATCAGCATGGATTGGTCTGCATTTGGTTAGATAATAGTTTCTTAAAATCATACCAAGGCTGAACACTGCTGGCTTTTTCTTTCTGTGTTAATGATTATTTAGTTCCAATTCACGACTAATTTAGATTGTATAGTTTGTTGTCTTAGATTAAACATATAAAGCTGTATTTCATTTGCTTGTGGCACTAACTACGATTTAGTTAAAAGCAGACTAACTGAATACGATCGACATATTTTGTATTTTTTGGGGTCGTTTTTTCTTGATGTTATAGCATATCTGGACCAAAAATAACAAGGAAAGACCGTTCTGTTAAGTAACATATCTCTTTACAGTTAGTTTCATTGAAGGAAAACTCACATTCTACTTCACAAACCAGTTTTAGAGCATCTCATGATGCGTTTTTAGCAGTTTTCTTAGATGGCTTCATTGGCGATTTCCCAAACAGGTTATACGTTTCTCTAGACAGTCATAGTCTGTTTGAATGGTTGCTATCAGAGAAAGAGATTTCGACTCGACTGATTTCACCACATAGCGAGGACGTTTATGTTTCTCCTTGGGCTGCGACGTACAGTTTGGTGGACAATGACTTTTATGTCCACGTCTGTTGCACACCTGACATTTATGCTTCTTAGATGGACAGATTTGTACATAATGCCAATCACCACATAAACAACAAGCAGTCGTTGGTTTCTTACGAGTTGTTATCGGCTTCTGAACTGTTAACCTAGTAATAGCATTGATACTACTGCAAGTTAAATTAGGATTTACCTTTTCAATCAACTCATTGTCGTGTCTAATGCTTTGTAGTCTCTTACACTCATCTGTCAATGTCCTGAGTGTGACATTTGGGTCTTGATCCAGTCGAATCAAAAGTCTAGTCCTGATCTCAATATCTTGTGGTGACTGAAGAGCTTTGATTAATATTAAGCATTTAAATTAGTCTTCTGTCAGTGAGCGTAACTTGAACCGTTTACACTCTGTTGAGGACGTCTGCTAGAGCACCATATTCATCGGCTTCGCGTTTCACCAAATTTAGACGCTGATATCGAATACTAAACAATGAGGATGATTCATCGAATATCTCTGACAATTGAGTTACCGTCTCCTCGAAACTGAGCTCTCGAGATAACTTTGGCAGTATATGGTCAGCATAACGTGCATATTCATTGCTTCCCAACTTACGCACTAACAGTCAAGTCTTCCACGAGTTATATATATATATATATATATATATATATATATATATATATATAATTTTTACATTGATTAATAGAGCAGAATTTTAAATTCTCTTAAAGGGAAAGACTACAGTATATACTAGAAATGGACGTCAACTGATATCCTCCGTTTCACGACTTCCAGGAGGTGGTTTAGGCCAAAGTGATAATCAGAACAGTTCATATACAACTTTATTAGATTGCATATTATATTGTCCGGAAAAGAATATGGATTTCAGTAATTTCCAAATGGCAAATGAAACAAAGCAAGTGACTTTTGTCTTCTACGTAGTTGACATCATTTTTATGAGATCGACAGGCTATGTCAATCTACCTGTAAGTCTGTTGACGAATTTCATTAAAATGATACAACAGTATACTTTACATTATGCTTGTTTTTTATCCTTTTTTTAACTCAAAGAAAAATAACATACTCAAGCTAAAGCTTTCTAATTAAATGTTTTTAGTCGTTTCTAGATTTGTTAATATTCTTGTTTTCATAATTTATCTCAATACTCATTACTTCATTTTAAACCCCAAGAAATCTGGTAGTGTGCAGAAGGTTTTCCATCTGGTGATATGCACATTCTAGAATATTGTATGGAAATTCATCTCAGCGTGTATTTGTTCCAGGCATTACGTTGATTACGACTGACTAAACGTAGTAATAATCAAATATGGGTTATGAATTGCACTGAGCTGTCTACATTATTTGATCTGCGAATAACAAGTATGCATTTGTTTCTTAAATGAAGTCTTTGTATACATAATCTCAGTAATAAATGACTTATTTTGTACGAATAATAAACATACAGTGTTTGGTTTCCAATAGTTGTCTAGCTTAAATCACTCTGTGATTAAACTACGCGTTAAAAAAATATCCATAAAACTTTTGTCTTATTAAAAATTCGAGCTTAGCAGTCTTATTGATCAGTCATAATTTATAAATCACTTAAATTAAACTTGTTATTTCATACACAAAGAGAACTCTCTTTAAGCATATTTTGGCGTACTTTATCAGCTTATAGAGTGAATAGATAGTCTTATCATATCTACGTAGCATGTGTCTTTGTAATTAAACTGATATGTTCGAGCTAAATTCCTAGATTAAGTATCTAGTATTTATTTACTACATTGTATATGTACTAACTAATACTCTACTTTTACTCTTCAAGTTTTATGAACGATCCCAATGGTTAGAGAGTTATCTCAAGCAACAAATAGAGGAGTATGATGAAAGTGATCCCGTAAGTGGATTTATAAATTATGGTCATACTTCGTGTGCAATATATCGAACTAAATTTTTAATAATGATGACACATATGAATATCATTTTGTCATAAGTAATATTTTTTTATTTTCCTTACTACAACAACCGGTTACATTTTCTATGGTGATTATTGTGAAGTCATTGAATTAATATCATCTTTAACTAAGAATATTTATAAGAAAATTATTTGCATGATTAATAATAACTCTTGATGCCAATTAGTATTCGAATCCAAGATGTATTTCATTGTTTAACATTAATTATCTGATAATGTGTTGGATGAACGTGCCATGTAGCATACTGTTTAGCTTGCAATAACATCCCTCCAACCATGGAAAAGCTATTTTAAGTAAAGTTCGATAACATGTATCCATTCAGATCATTTCAATCCAAAACATTTGAGTTTAATTTTCCTGATAAAACGTTTGAATGAAGTATCCTACCTAATGTCTAAATATGAATTTTTAATGAACAACTAAAAGTTACGGATATTAATTTGATTAAAAAACAAAAAGCAGTTTCATATATGGTTCGCCTCCAAATGAACTCGAAACCTTCTTCAACTCTGAAAGTGTCTTTTTCCTCGTGTTTCATTTTAAAAATTGCCTAAATAATTAATGTATGTACAAGAGTGGAAAATATCGTTTAAGATTAAAATTTGAGAATCTTTAACATACTATGAAGACGTTCATTAAGTAAAATATATTCATGTCATTATCAAAAATATATAATGTTTTCCTTTCTTTAAAAACAGGTTGCTTTTCACATTCTGCCGTCATATGAATGTGATGTAGGATCAATGCAAGACGCATTCTCGTCAATCCCGTCATACGAGGTAGCTCAAACATTCAATCACTCAGTTGTAATAGTGTACAGCTATAAATTTCTAAGTACCTTAGCATATATATATGATGTATAACACAGGATGTATGTCTGTATGAGATCTACTTGCAAAGCATGGAACTATTTATCGATAAAATCACACAAGGTAAACAGTGTAATGTAGTGTTTGTGACTTATAAAAATAAGCAGAGATGAATAGTGGCTAGCAGTAAAATCCAGAACGTATATTTCACCTTATTTTGGACTTCTCAACCGGGTCTACCTGGATTCCAAAGTTGATGTCTATCCAGAGACTCGAACTCAGTACTGAATAGTCAGTTACAGTCCCAAACACTAATGGAAAGATCCAAACAACCAATACGAATAAAGTTTGCAAAAATAGTACATTTGCATTGGGATTCTTGTCATTTGCAGTTCTTACAAAAGAAAAATTAATAATTCTAATAGAAACAAACAAATGTCGAAGGCTTGGGGACGATAAAATAGTCTCTTCTCATATATTGTACGTTTTGTAGTAAAAATGTAATGATGATAAAGTAATGTTGATTTTCGCTGGCAGTTCTGAGGTGGTTACTTTTCTTACCGACAAAGGCATTCAATTTATAAACAAACATTTTCATTAATATATACACGCGGCTCATTTTAAGTGCTGGTCCACATGAATATAATATATAACTCCTAGGATGAAAACTCAGTAATTAGTAGGATTCGATTCATTTCAACAAACCAATTCACTTCAGTGCATTTCCTTCTATTTTAGTCAACCATTATGCAATAGCCTTAGGAAACTTGTGTTCTGCACTGGGATTCAGTTGTGATATACACTTCCTGTGGTATACAAAACCCACCATACAAATAAGATATAAGTGACATATTGTGCTTCACGACCGTTAAGTAACTAGACGTGGGTCGATATTATAATATTTTCTTCCACAGCACTAACAGTAAACAGTCATTTATGCACTATTAGTTAGCTGCATGAATTGTCCCAATTCACTATACCTCCAATTAAAAGAGTATAACAGCAGTCGAGCATCATAAAAATTTTATGATTATTTTTAAAGTAAAATAGGAAATGCCATAACACGTACGGCAGTTTATAAATATTAAACTCACAAAATCCTATTTATTGTTAACCAGGTGTTAGTTTTATGTCACCGAGTAATTAATTGATGCATTGGAAAATATTATGTCGTACCGTGTTTGGAGAGCTAAACATTCAGAACTATCATATGGGAAATCAGTGCCCATATTTTTATTTTGTAATTAAAAAAGTACTTAGCTTATTGTATTTTATATTCCCTGTTATGTACTTTTCCAAAGGACACACAAACTTGCTAGATGTTTTACCTTTACCCGTTATGGGCGGCCAAAAAAAACGTGGCATTAGTGCTTGAAGTCACTAACTTCTAGTCTGAGCCATGTTGGTAGATGCAGACTACTTGGCTGGGATCCGCGTGACTATCAAGACCAATGGTTGGAGACTGGGTGACATTGCTCAGAATCGATCAAAGTGGCGTAGGTGTATACACTCCCTGTCTCCCCTTAAACTATAAGATTGAGGTCGCTTCATATCTTTCTACGAACGGATTTGTCCTTCCTGTATTATATCCTTGTATGCAATCTTTCTTTTATATATTACCATCATTGAAGTAACTACTTATATGAATTTGGTGTTCATCTTGTGCTAATGAAGTGTGGCAACTTGGACCGATGCATATATATACCTGGTCTTATGTTGTAGCTGACTGAAATGTTCCACCTCCTCCAAGTTATTGTTAATTTAATACGAACTTATTGCTCACTTTTACTTCACTCATAACGTAGTATTGTACACATTATAATTTCCTATCTATGTTGCTGTGTGACCCGGTATTCAATATATATTATTATATGAGTTTCTAACTCATGTTGGATAGAGCAAAAACTCTGCATCAGAAGTCTTATCTCCGTGTTACTCCCGTCTTCTGGTTAGCTGGTAGGATAAATAGAGGCTGCACCAATGGGCGTTAGTTACCGATATCAATCATTATCTCACAATCACTGAGTGATTAGTCAGATGGTTATCGGTCCTATGAAAAAGTAAACACGGTAACCAGTAAGACGAGAACAACAATCAAGACAAAAATTTCGTTTTTTGGTGATCCTTCAAAAGGCGTATAATATGTACCAAACGAAAATTCAGTGAGCCAACGTGTGAGATAAATACTCTTCAAGTTGAATCACGAAAGAACACACCACAAGTTTCCTATTTTCCCTTCGTAACAGTCTACGGCTTCTGTCTTACATTTGTTTCGATACGTGTGTTTATTTTGCTCAAATGACTTCCATTTTCCATTAGTCTACCAAAGATGTCAGCCTCTTAATCGTAGGTTCTACACTTTTTACAACATCTCGTGTATTACACTTAAGTTTACGCGTAAAGCATACTCTACTGGTAATTGGACACTCATTGTGTTGAATAAAGCTACAGACTTCGTCCCTTTCCGTTCAGTTAAGTATATATTCAATATCAGGAGTATGTCCCACTAATAGACCCATTTGCGAATTACAATAACTATTGGATTTAAAACACGCGGGTTGGTTTCATTAAGTTGTACTTTGTCCATTCTTCTAAGCTCAATGTCAGTAACTAGAATTGAATATGCACTTAGTTATTTCTCACATTTACAAATCTTTGTTAATACCTAAAATCTTGAATGACATGAAAATGGAGTGATAAATTAATGGTCAGAGGACTTGACTTTTGGTTATTGGATCACATGTTCAGACTTCATCTAATTCAATCTATTAAATCGGATAATATTACTAACACTCAATGCGACAAACTTGTACAGCTTTGGAGCTCTAAAAGTATCAGTGACATATTTGACGGCTAAATCAGTCATCCTGATTTGATTGGTTATCTGTTACTAAATCCATTTTTGTGTACATTTAACCTTTTTGTTTATGTAGATTACCGACTAAGTATTCTGGCACAATTCGCTTACACTTCATGTTCTCATTCTGTTCATGAATATGCGATTATCGTAGAAGTTTAAATGAAAGTATTCGTCATTGCAAATGATACAGTGATAAGGTGTAAATTAACATTGCAATAAGTATAAATAAATCGATTTTTAACTTCCAACCATAATTTTATTCGAACTGAGAATCGAATATAATGTAATGTCTTCTATATTTTTGCATTTAATGTTCCCCTATTGTTTGTTCACAGATTGATGGTGTTCTTTTTTACCACAAAGATGTTAATTACGAACCTGGAGCAACTCCTCTTGTTAGCTGGTTGAAACCATATATGTTACCGGAATGGTTTCCCGATATCAATTATCATTCAGATTTCATGAAAGATATTCCTGACGATTATACTGACTATATTAATGGAATACAACAATATGAAGCTAAAATGTCTTCAAATTCATTACATTCCGTCATCCAGCCAACAATTCCTGAATAGATCCACGTAGTAATTCGCCATCACTCTTAAGAGGGGAATTCCACTGATTGACTTTTTTGCATAAGGATCATTGTAGTACCTTGTTGGTTCGTGGTTTTCTTTACCTACATGAAAACAACTATTACATGTTGAAACCTTTCATACTCACATATCCAAGTGTACTTTTTCTCTAGATTATCCGTACAATAAATCCCCTTCTTCACTAAACAGATAGTGTGAATTAACAAATACCCTGGGTTTGTTGAGCAAGGCCAACCGTTAATAAGGTTTTGTAATGCACGCATAGTTGCACACAATTGTATAAAAAAACTCAAATGTAACTGGATTCATAAATACACAAGCTTCATCTGTTACCTTGTCTCAGATATCTTATTTCGATAGATTTAGTGCCAACGATCACCTTTTTTCAAGCGTAACATCAGCTTATGCACGTACCAAGGACGTTGTATCAAAATGCCGCAAAATCTAGTTTTATTCACTGGGCAAATTATGGTTTGTTTAACCATAGGAATGGGACATAACTCTAATCACACATGTAATTCTGGCGATCAGTGTACCCTTGTTCGCAGCCTTTTTCCTGACTTCTAACGAAGTCAACTGCGTCAAGAAAACTGTCGATATCACTAAGATTTCAGTGCATCGTGGTCATGCTCGGATGATTCAATACTCACTACTTATTATCTCAGATTGCCACGTTCGTGAAACATTCTATAACATCGTATACTCGGTATGTGTTCATTGTTATATTATTCTGTGGCAAATACTTGAACTATGATGTTGAATTAGAACGAATAACAGTTTTCTTTCAAAGCATCAACGGTTTTTTTTTTTTGGTGGTGTTTTGTTCTCCAGCTCAGAGAACAAAACACCACCAAAATCATCCACCTGAGCTACAAATCTTCTCCACCATCTCAAGCATCAACGTACAACCCCTAATAGCGAATTATTCTTTTAACCAGTAACGTTGGATATCAAGTAACCAAATACGAACATAGCATAAACTGCGATTAACAATATTAGACATCAGGTCACTAAGTGCTATCATCCCGCTTTTGTAGGACTTTAGCACCTTAAACCGTACACTCAACTGTGTCGAATTATTTTGTTTAGGGACATTTCCATCCAACAACTGACCATTTTAAATTTGGGTATATAGCACTGCAAGGCCATTCATTTATTGATTACGTAATACACGAATAAATGCGCTCCATGAAGACTGTGCACTTAACGTTAGTGGATAAGGTACGGCTATTGTGTGATTTAAGAATCCTGATTCGACCAAACGCGGTTGCAGAAATCCATTCAGTCACTATTGGATCCCCAACACCATCTTTTTTGAATCTAAGGTGCGATGCATCTATTGGACTTTTCCACTAATAGATATACTGGGGAAAGACCGACACGTTCGTGACATATATCTAGCTCGAAACTGAGAACTAATGCATAACTTCTTATCACGATCTTTAATCCTAAGAAAGTGATATTACTTCTGTAACTCAAGAGAAGTTAGGTCGTTACATGTGACCTTTTGTTATTATTTAAACGCACGAACATTGGTACAAGGAGGCGCCACATAAACCACTCCATATGTGTGAGGACAAGGATACTCCTTAGGTGCCCAAAGCAGGGAGCTTTCTTAAGAACCTTTGACCTAAAAGTCTAATCCATAAGTCAGTGTAGCAAAATTGAGAGATGCGGTCTCGATAGGTTCAGACGCTATTAATCCTCTTAGGAGCTCATGTGCACTAATGTTTTGGAATCAGGTCTTTCCAACTTCTGCAAGTGGATCCTCTATATCAACCAGCCCGATTAAAGCGCCGGATTATTCTATTTTTGTCCTCTCAATTTCGTAAACAACATCCCCGCCGCGAAAGAGCAGTAAGTAGGACCTCGCTAGCAGTGCGGACTAATGAATACTTTAAATTCAAAATCAGCGAACAACTAATCTTAGACATAAAGTATTAAGAAAAAGTAGACTTTTCAATGACAACTTTTACTTTTTCATAGTTTATTCTGTAATTTTGCAATAGGGGTTGTTCATTGAAGAACATGAACGTTCAATAGATCTCTTAAAACAAGGATACATCAGATTATATTGACAAACTTGGCAATAGCTTTATTGTTGTGGGCATTCTTGATTTTCTCCGGTTTTTTGATTGGGTTTTGGTCGGTTGGGGGCACGATGATGCCGTCCACGACATGACTGTAGTTGAAAAATGAATTAGGTTGTAATAAAACATGGTACAGAGCAGTCGGTTTTTAAGATAAGAAATGATAGGCAAGGATATAAAAAACCCATCTTTTGATTAATATTGAGAAGATACAATCAAGGTTGAAATAAGGCTATGAATTTACTTTGATTGCTATAAATATTATTTAGTTGTGAATGCTAGCAATTAAAATACCTTAACGTTCGGATTAGTTAGTTTTTTTAGTCATAAATGGTCATGAATTTAATAAAGCTAATGTGGTACCAGTGGTAATTTAAAAACCATTAGTAACACTCAGTTAATATGAATAGTTACTTCTTCACTTTAAATACTTAGTGATAGCAGTTTTAATTAAGTGTAGCTTATAAGGTGGCATTTAATAAGCTACGGGTAAGCGTAACCCGTCTAATCAAATCGATCGCGCCACTGTCTTAAGGGAATAAATTAACAAGAGTAGCCAAAGATGGATAATAACTTTGGTGACATTAGGTCGCCGATCACTTTAAGCAAAAAAGCCTGATCCCAACCAAACATCACTAGGTGTTGTGCATTTTACCGAGAACGATAGCTTGATTTCGTTTAGTAGAGTGTTTAGTTAATAGCCGAAACAACTGTGTATGGACATGAAATCATGTGATGAATAAAATAATTTAACAAGAGTATTTGTAAATTGGGAGGATAGAATTTCTAGGCAATAGGACAGTATCAATACGTAACCTATTGTATGAATACTCGGTAATTCACCAACACATCACCTTTCTTACTAAGATCTCCTTAATTTGATGTTGCCGTGTAGAGGCGAATCCCGACAACTTGAAATACTAACTGTTTAAGAGAAATTACGATGATTAAGGCAAATTAAATGGTAGTTGTTAGCATTCGGAACCCATTTGTTACGGTTTAAAAACTTCGCAGTTGGAAAGTAATTAATTAACAAACAGTATGTGGAAAACTTTGGCTGAATATCATAATAACAACATAAAATAAAATTAAAGGCTTACGTGAGAATTCTCCTTTTCATTCTAAAAAACAATAAGAGAAACAAGCTTAATAGTACATATTTAATTAAGGTAACGACGAAGTATATATATATATATATATACATATATATATACATATAGGAATTGACACCCGTGCCTGCACTGATTCATATCTTACTGTAACTTCAATTGACGAATTTATGACTGACGTCGATATATAGTGTTAATCGCTTACAGTAAAAGTAAATAAGCCGACAGAGATTGACGTTTTGTTATTTCGTAAAAAGTAGTGAAGGAACTTACTTCTTCCTCCTTTTCGTCGTCATCATCTTCACTTAAATCTTCATCATCTAGATCGTCATCGTCATCATCAAACTAAAAAAATATTTTATTTTATAGTGAGTTACTTCGGAATCTACTGCCTCTCCAGTGAAGTAAAGTACAGCTCTCGGGATAACGCTTTCCCTCAAAAACTGACCAAGCTTGAAGTCAGACTCCAAAAGCATTTCAGTATCCTCATCCTGGAAAAATGACCACAAACCATGATGAACTCACCAGATCATCGGAGAGAGCTAAAATACATGTTAGAAGTGAAAATTGACGTACTTTCTGCAGGAGGCTCGAAAAAATTGAAGAAGGAATCTTCTCGAACACTTTTTGTCACAGTCCGTTTAGCACCTCCGTTTTTTCGTTTCTGAACCTTTTTAACCAGTTTCACAGTAACATTTTTACCCGGATGCCAATTGATAACACAACTACTCCATACAGTAAAATTTCATGATAATTACCCTTTGGTGCGGACAATTTCAGGTCCTTCATACCCAAAAGGATCCTCACTAGGTATGTCGTAGTTGAAATAATACCTTTTAGTTAATACACTGTTAGTGAAGTATTTATTTGATGAAAAGTAAAATTCCAGTGTAAAGCCCTGAAGCATTAAAAAATTGTAGTCAACATACTGCTTCCTCCCCTGTATTGAGAACACATTTAATGTCTATTAGATGTTTTAAAATATCACGATCATGATCTTGCACCATCTCATCAAATAGTGAAATGTTCTCTAGAGTTTTGAGCCAGAAGTCTGGGACACCTTTAACGTCAATTTGACAGTCTGCAGACATTCACCAAAAACAACCATAATTACCTTTATTACTGGTGTCTTTAGTGACATTTGCTGTGCTCTTTAATCTTTCTGATAAATTGTCTAGAGATATGTCGTCATCGTCGGTGGGCCAATCACAGTCTTCATCCGTGGGTTCTATACCACCCAATACAATATCTCGCCTCTACAACGTATGTGAAAAAAATAAAATAACGCACTTTCGAGAATATTTGTTGGTGTTGTACATCATACTTAACTTCTAGTGCAAAAAGCTCTTTGTAAAACTCGGAGTCTATCTTCAGGGTCTCATATTGCAACTTTTTAAGAGCCCGAACCCGTCGTTTAATTGGACCAGGCAAACTGATAATTATAAAACACGAAGTGAACTCACAGATGATATTCATGCAAGGCACTTAATTTAGGATTTTCACACTTTGATTCGTGAAGTTCTCCGGAGTCTGAAAATTCACCACCTGGTTGATGTAACTCCCACAGGTTTTATGTCTAACACTTACCTTCCTCTGAACTTCTACAATAAAAACATAATGAAGCAATACACAACGAACCCTTTGCTGTTATCCATGTCAATCTAGTGGCGTGGTTCGATAAGTTAAGAAACTACCGCTTAACTATTTTAACATCATTCAATCCTCAATCATAGTTATACAGAAATATCCAATCTAGAGTACGACTAAAAAATTGACATGACAGCATATATGCGGTTCATTTCTACTATTTCTGAATAAATTTCTGCCCTTACCTATTTTTATTTGTGGTTGGGAGCAGGGAAAAATCTATATATAAGACATTCTTGGGTCTAATATGAAGCTACTTAAGTGGTCGTGAAGTCAACTGCGCAAATTGCATGTACTTCCTTAGCCAGTGATCAGAACTAGGAGTACAGATAGGTTAGCAGATCGGAGGTAATCGCTGCGACACTAATGAGATTGAACCAGTATTTAGAACCTTGTTTTGAAAACCTAGCATTATTAAGAGCTAGGGAAACTCAGAAGCATAAAGTAAGAGAGGCTTTAACTACCAAAATTAATGGCCGCCGTGTTGTTGCCGATAACGCATCTTATGAAAATAGTGTGTTATGTTATAACTCGCGTTTTAAAATAGGGATTTTGTACTTATTGCGAGTTAACTGTGCTTTTGTGTATTTACCCTGTCAAAAAGGTACTCACTCTACTCTGTCTTGAATTGCTTGGCTACGTTTCAGAGCTATCCTTAAATTCTTTTATTTAATCTTCATGATCATCACATGTATTTTTGTCAACCCTCCCCCTTAAATCAGTTTACTGCGGTTGGTTGTATTGATAGATGTAAACAGCCGAATTGTCCTGACGACATGCATCATAGGATCATGAAAATCCTGACGGGCGCAACTTATGAACTCTTAGCAATACTGTTTGATATTTCTTCAATTTAGTCTAAACTGTCATGAGGCTGAAAAGATGCTAATATCAGTCCGGTTCATATGTTAGGTGGTGGAGACCTATTTAGTAACTATCGACCTGCTAGTCTAGTCAGTGTAGCTGTCAAACTAATTTGAAAGACTTTTCAGATGTCTATTCTAAACCACTTGTAAGTGGAATATCCTTTAGCTATGGAACGAGATGGTTCTACAGAAGACGTTTCACGCTTAACAAATCTCATTGGAAGAAAAATTGTATTGCAGAAAGACAGTAATACGCCGGCAGATGTAAACTTCACAGATCTAATTAAAGCCTTTTACAAGGACTCTCACCTTAATCGTAAGTAAAAACTGCAATTTTTCGAGATTTGTTATTATAACATAAACCAGATAAGTGATTTTCTCAATTATACAAGACAACGGGCACGACTAAAAATGGCTTTATCAACCTGAGATTATTTTTAAAGTCAATTTTCCCAAGGTACTATAATTGTGCTGAGTCGCAGTTGACCATGAACATCAATACAGATCGACTACATGCCAATTATCAGGATAAATCCCTCCTTAGGACAAATAATAGAAGGCAGTTTTGGATTGTAATTAATATGTACTTGTTGTCGATCTCTTGATATCGAAATAATACCGAGATCGTTTCAAAGTTTACAGGCAGAGTGCCGTGCGTACGTGAATGTGTTCAAGGTCACAAACAACGGAAAAGTATGTGTTTTGGTACAATTAAACAAAAAGACACAATAAAACAATCATTGGTAATGTTGGCTATAATAATAAATATTTCCATTACACCAATCGCGTTCTCTCCGTAAAGTAGGTCACAACAGTGTAATTATCGGCTCCCTCCTTTCTTATTGTATGTAGATGACTCGCGGAATGAAGGAAATTTGTCTTTTCCGCTTTTGGAATATGACATCAAGATTTGGGGAACAATACTACGTATGTCGGGTAAGATAGGATGACTCAAACTAATAGGTCAAATGGATGTTTTGATGGTCATTCGAAGTTAATTCTAGCAAGGGAGTAGTGATACAAACAAATAACTGAGACAATTCATATTACTACACATTAGCTGAAATCGTGTTGACTGAAGTAATGAGCTAATAGGATCTGAGCAACGAACTTAAAACTACGACTACCTATAAAGCTGGAGCTGCCAAAGGTTTCAGGATCTTATGTGCTACTCGTAAGTCATTTCGTTACTTGAAAGAAGAAACATTCAGAGTAATACACCAAAGTTTTATGAGGCCTTATTTAGAATATAGGATTCAAACAACGAGTCCTTATCTCAATCGTGAGTTGGATAAGACTGAACAAGCTCATCAATGAGGGACCAAAACGATAATACATCTCTCTGGCCTACTGTGCGAAGACATAATGAAAGGCTTCAACCTATTTCTGTTATCTTACTGCAGGTCAAGGGGTGATCTATTACTGGCTTATAGTATACTGAACGATGATCTTGCTATTAACATTTCCTACTCCTTCCTCCCATCTAGTAATGATCATGCGAGAGCAAATTCTATGAAAGTTCGAAAACTAACACGTCTGTAGTTCCATTCCTCGCACTAAGAAAAATATTACTAGAATTTTCTATCAGATGACGTAATATCAGCACTTCTGTAGAATTATGGTCTACTTCGTTATGAGTACTGTTCTAATAGACCTATACCAAAGATTGTGGATTTGCCATGATGTGAAAACCTAATCTATAAACCTTACGTGAAGGTCACATCATTGTCTTCACTGCCCCATCCTATCATAATCATCACCAATATATGATGGAGGATACCTTTAGGTTGGAGATAGAACATTATCTTTGATATGAATGGAAGAGATAAGTTACACAAGAATAACCACGCCTGAAAGGCCGGGCCATGCCGTCCGATGAATGAATTATATTTCGAATCAACGTTATCGCGTTGACCATTATTGACCTCTTAGCGTTACACGTTTAAAGTCTGTTCTCCCAGTTATCCCATGTTTAGCTTCGAGGATTGTGGTTAGGATCCAATGACACTAAACCTCCATTTGAAACATTCAAAGTGTGATTGGATCCTCGCAGTGCTTCGAAATGCAGGGATTAATATAAGTCAGCAGAGCTCCTGTCCTTACTAATAAAGACTGATGACTGAACTAACTATCTGTCGCATGGAATGTAAAGAACGAGAGAAAACTAGTTGATTTTGTATTAAGCAGTTCAAACTGGTTTTTGACTAGATTGCGAAGACTTACATACCTCACAAGAATCATGTAATGCAGTAGACGGCTTGGATACAGCTAAATGATTTTGGCTTGATAAATGACCTACCTCTGCTATCTCACACATCGAAATAAATGCATAAAAATAATAAATATATTTTTCTCACATCCGAATGAGTAGAAAAATTGTATTTCTGATGTTTTGTGACTTAATGTAAGCCCCTTCCTCGGAGTAAATGAATAACTGAGTTCGGTGATTAACTTTCTATCCACTGCTCAATCCTGGCATTCACACTTATAAATGCAGACGAAGTTTGCCAGTGTAGCAGTGGCTTACTTACCAATAGACTTTAACATCCACAAAGGAAAAAACAAGATCTTGAACTACAACACAGTGATCAACCAAATGATACTTGATATCGACGCTCTGGGAGAGGTGGAACTCTTTATATGCCTGAACAGCCTTGTACTAAAGAAGAAAGATCTGATGGAGACATGAAGGCACGAATAGGAAAATCATGGTTCAGTGTTTGTATAAATTATTGTTATTTCACACTTGATTGCCCGCTTATTTCGAATTCCAAATATAACATGTCCATTGATGCTCACCTATCCCTGTCTGAATTTTCACTATTTTGAGAATTCCTAGTTGTTACAATAATTAGAGTATTTCTAATAGACATTTGACGTCGCTATAGAGCCTGTGATTGGACGGTTGAATAAAATTCCATTTCTGAAGTTTTTGAAGATTACATGGAAAGGTTTGAAGTCTGGAGTATGATCAGGAAAGATGTTAAGAATGATTAAATTGTGGCTCATCTCTTCACACTTATCGGATAGGTTATCCACAGTCTATTTTGCTCCTTTATGCAACTCTGGAGGAACTAGTACTAGACCATATAAAGTGTACAAACCTCTAATGTTGTGTAGGAGGAAAATTTCGTAAAACGATTCGTCAAGATATCAAAGATTCTACTACGTCACTACGTTATCCCCATCCAATGCGTACTCAAGGTTATGCAGATAACAACTCATTGAGGAGTTGCGAAGCGGGTCACGAAGATGAGCACAAGTTTGATATATGTTTGTCTTGTGGCAAATCCCATTCATGCAATTCATCCGTGTTTCACAATGCTAAATGCTCTAAATGTGATGATTAGAAGTATTTGAATTATTATACGAACCAGGAATCCCCAAACGAACGTATCGTCTTTGGAATTCCAAATCAGGTAGTCGTCAAGTACATAGGAATCATTAGTTCATACAAACACCACAACTGCCACAGCTGAAATTAGGAGCTAAGTTTCCATAATCTGTTGTACGTTCTATCCTTAGATTCATTGTATGTCTGTTAGACTGTGTATTGGATATAGACTCTGTATTATCTAGAATCTACTCACTGGAAATGGAACGGACTCACTCGGTTCCTGGAATTGTATTTGACCGACATTTTGGTGGTGTGTACTCAAATCTTCGATATCTAGAATTCGCACTATACAAGAACAACATTTATTCAACAATTCCTACGACTTCTATCAATGGGGACCGAAACGAACTGTCACTCAAAACCAAATTCAGAGTTTTCAATACAAATGGTAAAACAGGTCTACTGTACGAAACAGAAACTTGAAGAACTGCGCGCGCTTTTCGAACGGGAAGTTTAGTCCTAACGTGATTTGCATTTATCAAACTTTTGCTGTGTTCTTACGCAACAAAAGTACCATTTCAGTTCTAAAGAATCTATCCTGAGCTATACGTTCGGTAGATTACTTTTTTTTTTAGTTTCACCATATTTAATAGTAACCTGTGTTTTTGCCTCAGCTTACTATTCGGTGTTTTTTGTTTTTCACGTATAGACTAGTTTCAGTTTATATCACTCGTTTTTATCCATTTTTGTCCGTTTTCAGTGTGCTTTTTAGTGTTTTTTAAAGGTTTTAGGCTTTTGCAAGCATCTATAACATAGTTTGCTTCAACATAGCCATGAAAAACTCATGCAAACGTCCGGGATGCCGT